AGGGTAGCAGAAAACAGACAAGGCAGAAGAGGATTGTGATGTCTGAGTACATGGAACAATCACCGGACAAGGAGTGAAGGAAAGAAAGGCTTTTTATGTGACAGAGGGAGAGTTAGTAACGAGAGCACCTGGGCAAGTGGCTGATGAGGGACAGGTGTGAATGATAAAGACAGAGTGGAGAAGCAGACTGAGGAATGAGAGGAAAAATAACAGAATCAGATAAACAGAAAATCACACCCAGAGCAGAACAACAAAAAACATAAAAAGCAGACAGAGACAGAACCAGTCAAGCAGAACTCAGAATTAAAGTGACACATTTACAAAACACCTTGAAAAAGAAGGAAATGATTTAGTTTGTGAGATAACAGGAACAGATACACAAAAGCAGAAGACACACAAGGAGCAGAGGCTTAGGCAGATGGGGGGGGCAGCGGGGACCGCTGACCGTGACAGTTGGTTTCTTGGTTGCAGCTTGAAGGAGGTGGCAGAGGCTTGGCAGATGAGGGGGGCAGTGGGGGCCGCTGACCGTGACATTAAAAGTGTTTTATTGTGAGCAATGCGTCTTGAAGCTGTTTTTCAAGTCGAGAGCGCAAAGTTGAATTAAATTCACGTGTAAGCAATTAAGGGTTTGATAAAATGGGGATTTTAAGAGCACAAGTTTAATTTGAGTAGAAAAGGTTGTTTAAAAAAAAGGTAATTTATGCGTTTCTGTTTTATTTTAAATACAATTTTAATTAATCTGCACCTTTGCTTTTATCGTCTAGGCTGACACACGATAATAAATCCATTATAATGATTATTTAAAGGAATGCATATCACCTGCCGTCTTTAATGTCAGCGGTTTAGACAAGGAGATTACAATATGTCGTGCTCAGAGTTTAAGTTGTGAATGACTCTCAGCTACCATCTCAGCAAATTTCAGCTCGTATTTGTGTTCGCTAGGATTATGTTCCTGTGGTGGCCATCTTGGATTAGATTAACTCAAAAAGGAATCGGTTACAGATGTCAACTCCACTGGTTACTTTCTGAAAGTAGAGATGCACGATAATGGATTTTTGGCCGATATCCGATATGCCAATATGTTAAAACTTATTTGGCCGATAACCGATATCAATACCGATATTTTTTCCCTACACCTACTTACAGAGACTGCACAGCTTTCTCTGCTGTGGAATTAAAATTCATTATTCTGAATGGTCTTTGTCAGTTTGGCCTGCGACCAAATACAGAAGCCAAAAAGGGGCTGAAAATGATGCAACACTTCAACTTGGATTATGTTTATTGTCAAAGTTCTTCATGACATTTACTCTCTAACACAATGACAACACTCGAACAGTGCAAATTTGCAATTTTTCACAAATCTAAACTCAACCTGTTCACAAGCACATCATGCGTTTTCTGTGTCATTGTTTCGATACGTTTCTGCAACGTCACAAGATCTATTTCCATCCAGTGTTGCATTAATTTTTCACCAAGATCTTGCATTGATCACTAGGCACTATGATGGGTGCATCACTTCACCTGCCTCTCTTCTTACCTTAATGTGTCCATCACTCTGGAACAGAATAAATCTGGACTCATCAGACCACATGACCTTCCTCCATTGCTCCAGAGTCCGATCTTAATGCTCCCTAGCAAATTGAAGCCTTTTTTCCTGGTTATCCTCACTGATTAGTGGTTTTCTTACGGCTACACAGCTGTTCAGTCCCAGTCCCTTGAGTTCCCATCACATTGTGCGTGTGGAAATGCTCTTTCACTATTAAACACAGCTCTGAGTGCTGCTGTTGTTTTTCTTCCATTTGATTTCACCAAACGTTTAAGTGATCGCCGATCACGATCATTCAGGATTTGTTTCCGGCCACATTTCTTCCCTACTATCCTTCCAGTTTTTAATAATGCGTTGGACAGTTCTTAACCCAATTTTAGTAGTTTCTACAATCTCCTTAGATGTTTTCTCTGCTTGATGCCGATGATTTGACCCTTCTCAAACAGACTGACATCTTTTCCACGACCACACCATGCGTCTTTCAACATAGTTGTTAAAGAAATGAGAAGCAACTCATTGCACAAGTTGGAGTTAAATAACTCGTTGCTAGCTGAAAGATAATCGCCCATGCAGTGAGTTATTTTAATGGAATGGCCTATGTCCAATATTTCACTGTATCGTTAATATCGGCCGATACCAATACCACGCCGATAATATCGTGCATCCCGATCTGAAAGTGTCATTATTATCTGTTTAGTGGTTCGTTAACTGTATGAACAAAGCAACACACGCACACAAACAGAAACATTATTGCCTTTGACGGCCAGCAATAAACACTCATCGAAGGGGGAGGATTAGTAAATAGGTGTCGTTAACTCAGGAGTAAAGAGGAAATTAAAAAGAGGTGGGGGGCTGTGAACAAATAAGGACACTGCGTTTTACTCTCCACTTAAAAGGTGGCACATGGTGCGGTTGTTGAGGGTCGGAAATTAGATTTTCACAAGAGTTGACTGCTGGCTAACGGTGTGTGTGTGTGTGTGTGTCGCTAAATGCTGAGATATACTGTGATTCATTAGACAGACACTTGCAAAACACAGATAGACGGCGCATACATTACTTTATTACTCATGTCTGGAGACACATATTATTAGATGTTACCTAGACTCAGAAATGAAGACGTGTGAGTCTTTGTGTTTGTGTGTGTGCGCTTCCTAAAACCTGCCTTTTGATCCTTCTGTCATGACACATCCTCACCGATTGTGCTTCAACCTGTAAGTTTCTGTTTACACAACTATGGATTCAAAAAGTTCACAGTCCAGCTGCGTAGACTAAACACTTTTTAAGTTGTGCGTTTGTGCGTGTGGTGTTTGCTTGAGCTCAGTCTATCCTGAAGCGTTACGCGAACAACAATCTGCCGTGGAGGCACTTAAGGCGAAGCGAAGACGGACACGACCTTTTGTACTTAAACCGCAACGTCGTCTTAACTCATCTTTTAACTGTGAATCTGGGAAGGAGGTTGTGAGTGAGGAAGAAAGGAGGGTAAGTATGAGAACAAGAGAAAGAAAAGTCAGAAAAGCTGTTTTGACATTTTTCCATCGAGTCTTTTTCCATTCGACTTCTTGGTATATCCCCCACTCCCTCCCCTCGTGCCTCGGTGGTTTTGTCTCTGACTTCACATCCATGGAATCTGATGTAACTGTTGCAGAGCTATAAAAAAGGTGCTTTTTCAGCTCTTTACACGAGCATTAACATTAGGGAGGTTTTACAGGCTTACCTGAACTCTTTGACCAAGAAGGCTGTTGCACAAATACCTAAAAGACGGACAAAACCATTGAAGCTGCTTTTTATTTTTATGCGTATTGGTGCCTTGTCATTCTGTTCGACTAGTGCGAACGTTTATGAAGCGTTCACACTGTTGCGATCCATTGTTCTTCAGCATCTTTCTCATCCCACAAGTTTTGTGCTATTTCAACAAATCATAAATCAAAATGTTCAGCTCTTTCACGACAATCCTGCTATGATGTTTGCTGTTGGCGCAACTTTAGCTTTTTGAACTATTTAGCCTTTTCTGCCAGAAAATAGACAGAGCTCATTTTACATCCATCAAATCTTTAGCTCTGTTTACAACCTTTTACTGCTCCTTTCACATTTTGTTCTGCTTCAGCTTCTTTCCTTGTGCAAATTTAATTTTTTCAGCAAATTTCAGCTGTTTTTTTGCTCTTTTCAGCTTCTTTCTGCCAACTACATTTTTGTGCTTCTAACTTCTTTCTCCTAATTTTTTCAGCTTGTTATGCTCCTTTCAGCGTATTTATGCAAGTTTTAACATTTCGTGCTATTTCAGCTACTATTTAGCTGCTTTATGCTAATTTTAACTTTTTTGACTAATTCCACATTTTTTGCACTCATTTAAAGTTTTTTCAGACTAATTCAGCTAAATGTGCTCTCTCCACTTCCGTCTGGTAATTTAAGCTTCTTTCTGCTTTTGTAGCTACTTTTCAGCAGTTTTTTGCTCGTTTCAGCTTTTTTCAGATGATTTTCACTTGTGTTGTGCTCATTTCTGCTTCTTTCAGCAAACATGTTCTTTCTGCTTTCTTCTGTTAATTTAAGTTTGGTTTATCTTTTCAGCTACATTGTTTGTAGCATTTTTAGCTAATTTCAACTATTTTCATATAAATTCAAGTTTTTCATGATAATTCCTGCTGATTTCAGCCTAATTAACTTCTCTGCTAATTTCAGCATGTTATGCTCCTTTCAGCCTTTTCTGCTATTTCAGCTATTATTTAGCTGTTTTTTGCTAATTTTATCCTTTTCAGCTAATTCCACATTTTTTCATCTCTTTCTGCTTCCTTCTAATAGTTTAAGCTTCTTTCTGCCTTTTCGGTTACTTTTCAGCAATTTTTTTTGCTAAAGTCAACTTATTTGAGCTAATTTCTTCATTTCTGTACTAATTTCTGCTTATTTAAACCTAATTCAACAAATATGTTTTTTCTGCTTTCTTATGCTAATTTAAACTTGTTTTTTTTTTCATTTCAGCATTTTTAAGCTAATTTCAGTTGTTTTTCAGCAAGTCCTTCTGCAATAAGCATTCGCACTGCGTTTTCGCAGGAAATGCAGTTTCTTTCTTCTTCTCTACAACCACCTCTTTTATTAGTTTCTGCCTTTCTGTGACTTTCTGTTCCCATCTGAAGTATTTGGACAGCTGTGGTGTGGCTGTGTGTATTCCAGAGGTTGTGACCCTGACATCTTGTTTAATACCTGGCTCTTGCAGCCTAATTGATGGCCAGAGCAAACACCGAGAGCTGGGACGACTTGTGCGAGCATGAGCATGTGCGAGAAGAATATTCTAGCTTCATTTTAAATTTAAAGTTGTACTTCATGTGTTACTTCTTCATAATCATTGTTCATAAATGTCAAGGTCAGTTCACATAATTGATATCATGTAATTAAAACCACTGGACTTCTGCAGTAGTATTTAGTTGTGTACTAAATTACTATTTTTGTGTTTTTCTTCAAGGATATTCTTTGTGTCTGGGTAAGTCATATTACTTCCGGTTCAACCATCCTGAAGAGGCCAGCAGAATGAAGAGCATGCTTCCTCAGAAGAGCCCAGTGTCAGCTTTAGCCTACAATACAGGTAAAGACAGATGCCTGGTGATAAACTAGTAAAAAAAAAAAACTTGACCTAGAAATATCACCAAATTTGTTCTCTATTTCTTCCATCATCTCCTTTTTGTTGTAGTTTTACTGTTTCTACCTGTTTTATTCCTCTTTTTACTTACCTGCTTCACTTTTTCACCAAATCTGCCTTTATTTTTTTAACGCACTAACTTTGTTTGGAGGAAAGAGGCCAGGTTGTCTGTTTACAGAAGGCCTGTCACGATAACAAATGTTGCTGGGCGATAAATTGTCTCAGAAATTATTGCGATACGCGATAATATTGTTTGAAATTTGACAATTAGTAATTAATGTCAAATTTAAGAAGAAATGTTGGTTAATTTAAAATAGTTCACAACAAAACAACTGGACCTTATTTGTAACTGAAGGCATTTCGCTTCTTATCATAGGAGCTTTCTTAATTCAAAGCAACGAGGAGTGTGGGATTCAAGTTATAAAGCAGAGGTGTTCTGTAAGCTTTGGAACTTTTTTTTGGATTTACCATGTCCTGGATGACTGAGAATCTTCATCAGCGTGTTGGTTAATTTGTTTTGTGTGTAGTACTTTTTTTAAACCACTGGATGGCAGTATAAGACTGTTTGAACCGAAGGATGGATAGTGAGGGAACGAGCAGAGTGTCTCTATAATGGGAGGGAGGCCCCTTGACGTGACATGGGCTGTCTCTCCCTGTTTTCGGTTCTCAAAATGGCGGACGCTCTGTGTGGTTTGAGCTCTTTTCACACAAAGTTTTTAATTAAAAAATCATCAAACAAGTTCTCAGCTTCTTTTTGCAGAGAAACACAACTTTTTACACTAAGGCGTGGGTTTCAACCGTGAATTTTGGAGCTTGGACAAGACGTAGGTTTTTTTTCCCGAGGTTGGCCTGTTAGCTTAGCTCGTAGCTTATCTTTTCAGATTAGCTGCTTTTAACTAGGGATGCACCGATCCACATTTTTACTTCCGATCCGATCCTGCTACGTCCCAATATCTTCATCATTATTGATTTTATATGAGGCTGTAATAATCTCCTCTCTTTAGGCAAGTACAATTTGTACAAATATATGCATGTCCAAAAAGGCAACATGAGGTAAGTTTTATGAATGTTGGATAAGTTTCAAAGTTAGAATTAAATCCTGCTAACACAAAACATGTTTTTATTTTTTAAATTCCTAGCTTTAAAGTGGATATTAAAGTGATTAAATGGCTTCAAACATCTGCTAAGATCATGGCATAAACCAACACAAGACATGTTCCTGTTTTTAGTATTTTACATCGCTTTATAATGTAGCTGTTTTTGTTTCGTTTTTTTTTTTTTTTTTAATATTCTTGTATTTTTCAATTCATTTGTTTTTTTATGATTGTTTACTGTTGAACTGATAAATATCTCCTGGAGGGTAAACTATATCTTGGCTGCAAGTATCAACCTGAGAAATCCTTCGTTTTCTACAGCTGATAGTGGTTGGTCATTAATTACGATGACGTTTAGCAACTTCTCGGTAAACAGTCAAGCTCCGGGGCTTCAGCGGTGTGCTATTCTCATTCAGTCCGAAGAAGGCAGTCTGATTTCGGTCAGCCGCGCTCATTCTGCCCCTCCTCCGAGACGGACAGACTGAGCGGGTCAGACTGAGCGCAACTGACCGAAATCAGACTGCCTTCTCCGGACTGAATGAAAATAACACACCGCTGAAGCCCCGGAGCTTGAATGTCCAACGTAAAACTAACTTTACCGTGGTTTAATGTGGTGCTGTGGCTCTGCAGACATTGCACGTTGCTGTCTTGTTTTGTGGTGTTTCTAGTGTAAAATACTTCCACACAGCGGACATGTTTAGATGAAAAGTTGGTTAACCGTTAGCCACAGTGCTACTGCACGTTTTAGCTGGCTGCAAACTTTGAACTGGATTTCCTGAATGTGAGGCGAGTCTTATTACTCTGGGTTCATGAGACACGCCTCCGTTCAGGAAATCCATTCCATAGTTTGAAGCCAACGTGCAGAGCAACCGGCAGGGAATCACATGTGGAGACTTTTTTACTTGGAGACAGACATGCATCATGGATCGGAAATCTCTACAGGTTGGATCGGAAAAATCCGATACGTAAATTATGCTGGTATCGGATCGGCCTCATCACTACTTTTAACGATCCAAAAACATGATTTGAGACGGTTAAAACTGATTTTAAAGATAAAGGGAGGGGTCAGTGAAGAGCACTGGAGTGGAGCCTTTTCTCATCCAGTGTCTTCAGTAGAACGAGAGCGACACGAAGAAACGATAAAGCCGATAAATGAAAATGAGGTCGATAATTTTCATTTATGTTGCGAATGATTGATTTATTGTTTATCACGACAGGCCTTGTTTACAGGTCCTTTTAACAACGATCTCACCTTATCTCAGATAACGTGTAATAAGATGTTTACAGGCCTCTGTGTTCTGGTTTTCATCACCGCTTCATCAGCGTTTCTCCACTCCAGGATGAGGTCTAAAACAGCTTTTTGAAATCAGAATAAGATGTGCAGCTGCGCAACACATAGCCAAGAACAAAAGTGCAAACATAAGTAGGACACCAGATTGCTTTTAAATGCAAAATTGTAAAATCCAAAGCATATTGGACATTTTTTGCATCTAGTATCTCTTTATCTCCATGGTGATACAGCTGAATTTTACCGTCTCGCAGGTGATTGATCGGGCTGTGGATAAGGTGTATGCTCAGTGGAATTCTTGCTCTTTAAACCTCAGACACAAGGAATGTACTCCTTTCCTCCTCACTCCCCCATCTCTGCACACATACTAACTAAACTGTTAATGCAAACAGCTTTTATCTTTTTTATTTATTCGAGTGTCAAGACTCTGACGTGTGAAGACTTCCACACACAGCGGGATGAACAATTATGATAGAAGACTTGACCCGTGCTTTTGGTTTAAATGTGCCCATGTATGGACAGAAATGATTGTGTGTGCGTGCGTGTGTCTAGATCTTATGATGCCTTTCATTTTCTGCTCCAGTTTTCTCCCAACAGCTTTAACATTTTCTTTCTCACGCAGACACTCATTTAGTTGGTTCCTAGTCGTTTCTGTTACAAATCAACCACTCCTGGTGTTTGCACAGATGAAACAAACACTTCCGCATGTCACTAAGAAGATCCACAGTTCTGAGTTGAAGAAAAGCCATTCTGTGTGTGTGCTCGGGGGCGTGGTGGCGAAATGCTGGGTGGTCTAAGCTTAAGAGCTGTTATAGCGTCTTTTCCACATGGAAACCACAGACGATTAAAAAATAGGCAGGTCTCTCGCACGCTGCTTTACCTACTGGATTTTCACCTGTGCCTTTAATGACAGGATGTGCACAGCTAGCTGCTGGAAGTCTTCACGGAAAACAAAGCAAGCGCTATCAATCAAGCACACTCCAGCTGATCTTTTAAAGTAGCTGATTTTACTGGGAAGGATGTAAAAACAGACTTTGCTGAGGTCTGGAGAAAGATCTGACTGCTCAAACTGCTTTAAATAAAGACTTAAGGAAGGGCAGTGGGCCCCTTAAGGGTGCTGCACAATATGGTGTGGGCTTTTTCATTTAGCAAAATCCTATTCTAAGGAAATGGGCTCAACTTAAACTGTTTGCTTTGGATCTAATGGAGTTTTTTGTGTGAGTGTGCAGTTACACACAGAATTACTTTTATGTAGAGTCCTGTATTCGGAAATTTGCTGCCAGTTGTGGAATATTTTTGCAGATATTTTTTGCCAAGAACATGATTTGTACATCTTCAGGTACACATACAACCTCCCCTCTCTTTTGTCCGTCTCTATTTATGACCTTCACTTTCCCCCCACTTTTTCTTTCTATTCCTTCTCTTCATTTTTCTTTATTTTTCTCAAATCAAAGTCTAATATCGCACATCTTCATTTTTATCTCTATACCAAAACTTCCCTATTGTTTGTACATGCCCTATTCATAAAATTTCTCTTTATCTGAACGGTTTTACTTATAAAATTGCATCTGTAACCATAATAAGTTTGAGTTCTCTCTCTTGTCAGACTATTTGAAGTTTAGCAGCGATTATAGTCATGCAGTCGTGGGGGGTACCAGTAGTGCCAGGGGTATGAGATCAGCCTCGGAGCTTCGGGATTTGATGGACACCCTGCAACGCAAGAAAATTGCTCTGGAAAACAGCCTGAGGGCTAATGGGAATGCTAACCCCTCCTACTTTAGCATGACACAGGTCAGCTTTCACTTAATTGCTTTTAAATTGTTTGTGAAACATGTTTGGATAGCTTTGACACCTGCTATGTTCAACTGAGCTACATTTTTACTCATTACCTAAAATGCAAAACGTAATAATTACTCATTACCTGATTTATATTACAGTGCATCTTGAATTCTGATAGCTATTTTCTTCTTTTGTATCTCAGTCTCCTCCCACTACACCCGTTTCAACTCCTGCAACATCTTCATCAGTCTATCAGGAACAGGCAAGGCGTTTCTACAGCTCTGATCGCCCACCTATGTCTTTGAAATCTGCTCCCCCTCCTTCCTCTGGACGACGATCAGACCCTTCTTCTTCTTTGGCCTCGCGCATCTCAGTCGGCCGCAGTCAGGACAATGGTGGCGTCGCAGACAGCCGTCGACCGCACAATCTAGGTTCCTCTCCTATGCTCTCAACGTGGAATGGTGGAGGTTCTTCCTCTTCGGTTACTGGTGGCGATAACTTCCTCCTCTCTGTTACTCCCTCCTCGTCATCCCGCGCTTCATCGGCAGGAGGTGCAGTCAGCATGCCCTCAAGCCCTCGTTTAGGTCGTCGTACCTACGGGAACCAAGAACCATCACCCAGCAGTCGAACCAGGAAGTACTCAGCAGGGTCACTGAACAGCATGATAACAGGGGGGCACAGCCGCTCGCTGCCACGTCTTTGCCCTTCCCCATCTCCTCGCAGTGACAGCAACGGGACGCTTTCTTTGTCAATGCTTCCTCCACGGCGGTCTGATATTGCAGGGGCTTACAAATACAGCAAAGACCTTCACAGCAACAGTCCGAATGTCAGCCTTGAACTCAACAAGTCCATCCAGCAAGTGTCTAACAGAAATCAAACCCAGAGCAGCACTCACAGTGAAGGTGTTGTGTCCATCTCCCTTTCTTCGTCCAAGAGCTCCACCAGTCATTCCATCTCTTCTACAACTGCCCCGCCAGATGTGACAATCCCATCCAAAGCAGGAGGCTCCTCTTCCCCTCGTGTTGCCAAAAAACTTAGCCTGGCCTCCACCAGCTCACTGGGCTCTGTGAGCTCCACAAGTTCCAGCCCTCCAGAACAAGAACGTCTTTCCAGCCAAGGGGTCTCTCTGGGACTAGATGTACATATGGGAGAGAGAGAAAGACGAGGACTAGAGTTCACCTGTGGCCCAGGACATGGAGAGAGGAGGACTTCATTTGGGAAGGCGGGACTCGAACCTGGGATTGGTTTGGGGGAGAGGAGACAGTCATTCAGCAAAGCTGGGATGACTCCTCCGGGGGGGTTTAGGGAGAGAAGAGGGAGCATCAGCTCACTGAGTGGAAAGGAAGAATTAACGGATTACCACCATCGACAAAAAGAAGAAAGACTTCGCGAGCAGGAGGTGGAGAGACTGGTGAGTTTCCTGACTTTTAAATGTAAAGCTTGTGAGGTTTTTATTAATACCCAGAGTAGTTGTGATTGAAAGAGCAACTCCAAGACACATAGTAAATTTACAGTGTTTATTTACAATAGTGAAAATAGATAAACAGTAGAACTGCAACCTTGGTGTGAGGGACTGGAACCCTGAAGCGCAAGGACAGTTAGGAGGAGGATAAGAAGGTCCACAGGTGGTTCTGATAATTTGCAGGCAGCTTACGGTAGGAGAAGATGGTAAACTCATAGGCATGAGGGTCCAATTGTTCCAAAAGTAGTCCAGAGGGGTCCCAGAGAGATTGCAGATACGATGGGCAAGCGGAGAAAGCAAGGAGCAGCTGAGATCACCAGGCGATTCACAGAGAACACTAGGAGGTCCAGGGCATTGAGGAAACACAGGGAAATGCTGAAAAGCACAGGAGCAAGGTCTTTGCATTAATCCCAAGAACACAGTAGAGGTCAGAAACACACTACCATAAGGCAGACAATGCACCAGCGTCGGAGTGAAGTCATCTGCTGCCATTTATACCCCTGTAGCTCATCAAGGTAATGATCCGCAGGTGTGCATCCGATGGCGCCATCTGGTGTAGGGAAGCTGTAGGAGAAAACCCTTGAACTCCTACGAAGCTATGATTTAATTTTCAGTGACAGATGGCTGTGTTTGCCCATGGTTTTATTTGATTTAAAGCAGGTAATTTATGTAAACCAAATAATTCTGCTGACGTGTGATGGCACTAAAATATTAAAACGCAATATTTTACAGTACTGGAATGCTTGGCCTTATAATAATAACATTCTCTTTGGCCTCTCAGACATACTCTCCCAGGGATCTTAACACACACACATAGTGAGGTTTACCACTCAACAGATGCTTATGGCAGCCAGCCCATACTAACAGGACTATTCTTACCCTTGTGCTCGGATTGGGTATGTGTGGGTGCGTGTTTATGTCAGTCATCTGGAGGTCCGCCCGATGCGGTTTGTACCACCGAGCAGCCGCAGAGCTCATCATTTAGATGTGGGTCAGAGAAACCAAGATTACAGAGTTTAGTGTAGCAGGTGGATAAACACACAAACGCACAAGTGAACTTGTAATTCCACGTCTTTATACTCTGCCTCGCACAAGGTCATACACTCAAGTTCTCATTAAAGAGCCATTTTAAACTTTGGCTAATCTTTGAACTGAGCATTCAGCTGATGTGGTTAAAATTACATGTGATGTCTTTGGTTACCTGATAAAGAAAACCCCTGTATTCAAATACCGTCAGTCGAACAGTAATTTGAGTTTAAATAGTTGCTTTATAGTATAATATATTTAATATTTTGAGCAATGGGTTCTAAAAAAAATAGATACAATGAAAAATAGCTTGTAGTTGTACTGGGTTTAACAGGCAGACCATGCCTCAACTTTTTCTTCCCTCTAGTGGTCGTTTATAGAACTGCGTTCTTTGATCCTGGTCATAAATACGTGTTAATTCTGCATTGAACTGCAGCAATATTATTAATTTCATTGACTTGTTTAATAATGCACAGTAGTGAGGTTTAGTCAAGTTTCAGGTACCATTATTATTTGGATGGTTTGTAGCACCAAATTTGGACTTTTTTTGTTTTTACCAAAAAAAGGACCACATTTTAAATGTGTCAAATCAAATAATCCTGTTTTTAATTGCCATAACAAAAACATAAATAAATAAATAAATAAATAAATAAATAAAATCACAAAATAAACAGTATGATACAGAAAGCTGCAAAGAATAACCGAAGTGTAAATATTTATCCTCTATGGGTCAGGCTAAAGAAAGCACCACTGCTGCTTCTATTTCTGCTTCTCCTTTCTTTTTTCCTGTCTTGTAATTTATTCTTTTTTATTGCTTTCCAATTTTCCTTTTGCATCTACAGAGGCTTGTGTTAACTAGAATAGAACAAGAGGACACGTTACACTTGGGGTAATGTGCATGTTGTTAATAATGTTAAGGGCTGCATGATATTAGGAAAACATGCAACTGCAAAATTATATGTTCTCTCATTATAACATGCACAACAGTCTGTGCGCCATCTGTGAGCATTTAGAGAAGTAAAGATCCAGTTTGTTGCCATATTTGTTTTATTTGTGTGTAGTTGGTCTGAAATGTATGCAGCTCTAGTGTTCACATATGGGTGTATTTATTTTTTTGTAAAATACTGATTAATTTTGTGAGATTACTTGAGATGATTGCCATTTTTACCATTTTAATACTTTTACTCTCCAAACACTTTGTGGTTTACTTTTTTTTCCTCGAGCACAGTGTCCTGGATTGAGCCTTGCTTCTTTAGTTGCATTGCAAACGTTCCTGTGTTTGTAGCCGTAGCTTGTTTCCGATTGTAGCTGTCAGCTGTCCACCTGCTCATTAGCTAACTCGGCCTCTCTCTGTCACGCACAAGCCCAAAGCTTTGCTGTTTCTAATATTACTTACACAGGCTTGCTGTGTGGCTCATATACTTATCTAACCAGAGGTATTAGAGTGAGGGGTCATTTTGACTCTTTTCAGCTTCTGTAACTCGCTACATATAGCTGCGCTAGGGCAACCAGAGCAGTGGTGGGGACGTTCGGCTGTAGGGACACAGAGTAAGAGGAAGCAGTCTTCCTCAAATATAAACATTGATACATTTAGCTAGAATGCGTTATTGATATGGAAAGGAATGTTGCTGGGCTTAAAGTAAATGGAGTTACTGACTTCTTCAATGCTTCCTAAGGTAATCCTTATGTTTTTCCAGTAGGACTGTTGCCATTTTTTTTTTTGTTTGGGTTTGTTAAGATGTAACCTGTACTAGCTGTGTCTATATTTGTGTGGTCATCCCAGGAAAGGCAGCGGCTTGAAACCATCTTGTCTCTGTGCTCTGAGCTCGGCCGGACCGAAAGCGATGGAGGTGGATCAGCACCGAGGTCAACCTCGGCTGTCGCAAACCTTCAGAAGATCAACCAGGAGCTGGAGAAGCTCCAGCTGAACGATGACGACGACGAGGACGATGATGCGCCGTCCGTATTTTCGGACTCTTCGGCTGTTAATGGGACGTCAGAGAAGGGTCACGTGACCTCCCCTGGATCTGAGAACGGCTACTATGATGACGATCTGCAGGTACGACGAAGGCGCAGCAGTGGACCCAGAGACTACCGGGCTGAATCACCTGTCAGCCTGCGAAGCTTTGCTCCCTCACCTGCTCCACGTCTGCACAGAAAGAACGAGGTATACCTCAGTCGTCCTGCAGGCTTACTCCACATTACATAACTTTACATTAATGTGTTTTTCCTAAATTTATTAAGCTTCTAATATACATGATATTTTCAGTGTCACAAATGTTTTAAGATCACTTCGTAAATAATTTTAAAATGTATGATTTCCTTAGCACATTGTCACATTACATGAATCATACAAAACCTGTAACAGCAGTAGAGTGGAGTTACAAAAGAAGTCTGTGAAGACTGACACCAAGAGATATTACAAGTTGCTGCCATGTATTTATACCTTTTATTTACTTCAATCAGTCAGGATTAAAGTAGAAATATGTTTTTCTTCATCTTCTCTGTAGAAATCATGAGAGCTGCAGGGTTTGCTTGTCCTTTTCCATGTGCAGTATTGATATGTAGAAACACAGATGGGCAGCATTTACAGCTCATTTATTAGATTATAGCAGGCCAGATGTCATCATCTATAATTGACAGCTGGTGTGTGTGGGTGTATGCTTACTTGTGAGCTTTGTCTGAAAAATAAATTTATCTCAAAATGTAAAAAAGGACTAAGGCTATTAGCTAAAATTGAGCTATTTTACAAGAACAACAACAAAAAAAATCAGGATTATACAAGTAAAACAAAATGATTTTCAGAGTAGTGACATAAAAATACACACTTGGAACACTTATTTCGTTTAATTATGCCACATTATTAAATTAGAATTTATAATTTAAAATTATAATTTGTTTAAAAGACTTGTCTAATCAATTAAATGCATTTTTATAGTTGAATAACATTTGATCACCATTCAGTCTGGTTTTAGAAAACAGCACGTTACTGTTACACCAGTAACGGGGCTTCTGGGTGGGGCCCTGTTGGCTTCTGGGAAATGTAGTCGTTATGAGCGGTGATACAGTGTAGGCTTATTGAGAGAAAACTACAAAATGGTGGCGCATGTCCGAAATATTTTATTTTATTTCATTAATTTTTTTTACTGTACAGTATAATATTGTAGTATTAAAGTTGACAATCGTGCGTCGTGTACAGTTTTTAAAAAATCGTGTACAATTTTATTTTGAAAAACCACAAAAGAGCGATTCCTCGAAAGTCGAACCTCGAAGTAACGAGGGACTACTGTATCGTTAATTGTTTTGATTATTCTTTTTTGACGTGTGCTGCTGACCTCTTGGCCAGGTCGCCCTTGGAAAAGAGATCTTGATCTCCGTGGGTTTTTATCTGGTTAAATAAAGGTGATGATGAAAATGCAGATTAGTAAAATTACAGCACATTAAGGTGAGCATCCAATGATGCAGTGTGTATTTATTATACTTAAAAAGCCTTTATGATATTGATTAAATGGATTAATATAATGGTGGTGTCATTATCAGGTCGTAGAAGATGCAGCTGGCCGCTCAATGCCCTCAGAGGAGGAAGTGAGGCGTGTGGAGGAGGAGAGGATTCAGGTGCTGAACAACATTGAGGAGCTGGAGCAAAAAATCAAAGAGCTGGACAACCAAGTGGAAGAATCTGCCCGAGAGGTTAAAAACTGATTGTATTAAATAAAATCTGTATGTTATTCAAAGTTTAGTTTCATGTCAACATTTGATCATAATAGGAATAAACTGCAAAATATTTTAATCTGTCCAAATTTCAAAATAAGTTTTTTTTTATTTTTTTATTTTAAGGTGGAGGTTGAGCGAGCGCTGGTCGAGGCTGAGCAGGAGTCTGAAGTAGCGGCTCTGGAACAGGAAAAAAACGCTTTGGAGGCTCTTCACAACAAAATAGAGGAACTAGAGACAAAGTCCCAGCAGGAAAAAGAAAAGGTATGCAATAAACATTTCTTAACTTTAGTACAAATGTGATTTAGGACGCTTGAATTATGTCAATACGACAAAATTCCTCCTAAAGATGCTTCTTCTATAACAGGAAATGCTGGTAAGGAACTATACTAGTTAAATTCTTTAAGTTTTCTGTAAAGCCCCTAATAAAACAAAACCTTTGAAAGGACTTTACCCATGATATATGATATTGGAAAACATATAGGCTACCCAGAAACTCTCCTATGCAGCGTCATGTGACTATCCAGTAGGCGTTAATCCCTTTCATGCTCTCTCCAGTCCAAATATACATCTGCTAATACTACCCAGGGTGCATCTGTCCACCAAGTGGTTCTATGTAACGCAGTACTGCAGGACTACCACAGATGTGTACAATTAATAGTGTGCATTTTTATGTTAATATGGTAACACCGACTGGGTGGGAGATGTAGGTGGATTGTCAGAGGGGATGTTGTGTGCAAGTGTACATTTCTTTGTTTGGAGCTTCCTCATTCGTTGGAATGAGCCTTGGCTCGATGTAGCCACAATCATATTGTGTAGGAGATGAAGCTGGATACTGACACAATGAGGGATAGATGAATAGAATAAACAGAAAATTGCTGTTCATTAACAGAGAAAGCTAGCTAAGTGCTTGTTCCTTGTGTAGGTTGCAGTGTTTATAGAAAGGAGCATCAGTGTGTTCGTTAATCCGCCACAGAGCCATTCCATGTGTATCTGTTTCCCTTCCCACCCGCTCCTTCAATAATCTCCATTTAAACAAACTGGGCTGCAGGCAGAGCGCAAACCCACTCCATAAACCACCCTCCTTACTCCTTTAACCAGCCCGTCATTAATCTGCCTGATTGTTTTCTGCCTCCTTTTCTCCCCTCCAGGCTAGCCGTACCAACCTGAACGTCATAGCAACTAACTGTCAACCCCTCCCCAGTCCCCACTAACTCAGCCATCCTCTCTCTGTCCTGTGTGTGTAAATGTGCTTGTCTTTGTTTTTACATGTGCACATGGAACAAATGTGCACATGGCGTGTGGGGATGTGCGTACATGTGTACATGTGCGTGTACCAGGCAAGCGAGTTGCTGCAGGCAGAAAGGGGCAGAGTAGAGAGGTTGGCTCAGATTGTGTGCGAGCAGCGCTCTCAGCTGGACAGCTGCCCTGAAGCCACCAAGGAACCCCTGCAGGAGCAGCTAGCCAGGGTCAGTACACACACACACGCACACACTCACATGCACAATTCAGAATTTGCTTAAGTGTTAGCCAATAAATCCATGCAGAAAACGTTGAACTTGTCTTGGGAATTGCATCTGTGTTAAATTATCATATAGTCAATGTGGGAGGGTGGATTTATTTGCTAAAAGGTGCACAATGTTAACATTTTTTATAAGTACATATTCTGAGCAAAATACCCCCTAATTTCCCTGCGATTTCTCTCAAGCTTCACCTCATTCGATTTCTCTCTTCCCACTAACACTGCTAATTCCCTTTAATATATCTCATTTTTAGGAGCAAAATAAAATGTGTGGGAAGTATGAAATGTCTGAAATACCAGTTTGGTACATTTAGGCTTTTACGTGTGTGTTGTTGATAACAGTTTATAGAGGACACGGCTTTTAATAATCTGTCATTTTTATTATTATAAATAAAATATTTCTTAAGGTATAGATAGCCAGAGTGTCCTTTTATTGTGGTCACCCTAAGGTGCACCTGTGCAATAATCATGTTGTCTAACCAGCATCTTGATACGCCACACCTGTGAGGTGGATGGATGATCTCGGCCAAGGAGAAGTCCTCACTAACACAGATTTACACAAATTTGTGAACAATATTTGAGAGATAAAGACCATTTGTGTACATAGAAAACATCAGATTTGTTAATTCGGCTCATGAAAATTGTAAAATAATTTTTTTTTTTTTTAATGTTTTTGTTCAGTGTATTTTTTGTTTCCTGTGATTGCTTTAAAGAAAATGTTCCAGCATCTTGTGTTTTTAAGATTGTGAATTTATCTAATTAGCATTAATCTGCAGGTGTTTTCAGTCAATAGAATGACAGGTGTGGGCGCACCTTGTTAAAATAACAGTGTTTATCAACATAGAACATTTCTAGAGGTCTACCACACCACAAACAAAAGAGCATCCACGCTCAACAGACCAGAAAAGGTTACAAAAAGTGTTTGATCTGTACTAATCGACAGTCACTTTTATGCTAATGTTCTTCAGGAGAGCACAGAATAAGAATGATGTAAATAGAATGCAATGAGGAAAACACTTTTTTAAAATGAAAACATCCCCACAGTTATAATTACAGTATATGAATTGTGGTGGGAGTATCATGGTTTGGTTCATTTTGCTCCACATAGAATGGGATGGCTTGTTATCATTTACGGCACTATAAATGATGAAATATGTGACCCCGTCGCATCAAACTGAAGATTAGGTCGCAAGACTGGTTAAGAAATTGTTGATTTTTGGATTATGTGAAAATATGAGGTACCTTACCTTTGCCTTGAAGGAAATGTCTGAAATGTGATCCTAAAGAGAGTTTTGAAGCACTTTTCTAAACTGATTTTGAACAGAAAACCCTATTGAGCTATTTTCCCTGAAATGCTATTTTTAATACCAGCTAGGACACTGTTCAGATATCCAATGGTTTGAGGTTTCTTTCTAACAAAGTAAAAAAAAAAAATTCCCATTAGAATATGAATTACAAATAGGATTCAGACCGACTTTCCTGGGGGTATTCCGGAGTAGGACGAAGAATCGCTTAATTTGTATTAAAAATAGCTAAAAAGCCAGGAACCTGAAAATCTTACTTTAGTTGGTCCAAATACAACTTAAACCCAGATCTAATGTGATGTTTTGCATATAATATTAAGATCTGAAGGAATTGGCCCTTAATCTGAGTTATAAAACTAAATGTATTTATTACAAAGTAAATTAAATTGTTCAGTTAATTTAAGGCTGACTGGGATTTATAACAAAATTACAGTAGTCCCTCACTTATCGTGGAGTTTATGTTCCAGACACCCCTGCAATAGGTGAAAATCCAAGAAGTGGCGTTGTTATATTTATTTTAGTATTTATATATATTTTAAGGCTTTATAAAACACTTCACACACTCTTGCAATGCTCTTAGCGATGTTCTAAACTCTCTAAAAGAGCACAGCGAAAGAGAGCAGACACACTGATGCTACAGTTACTGAGCCAATCAGCTCCTGGGATTGAGGGTGGACTGGTCATCGGGAGCACCGGGATATTTCCCGGTGGCCTGGCCCTCTCATTGATCACCGAGGGGCTGGACAAAAGGCTTGGTTCGGGTCATGCTTGATTATTTTAAATAAACAATCCATGCCACTCACTCAGGTATCCGCCTCACTGACGCTCCCTGAGCACACGTGTGTCTGCTCCGCTGTGACTGACAGCCTCAGAAAGAGAAAGGAAAGGGCGGGGGGTGGGGCCTGTCTTTCCCCATCGCTACTGCTCAGGGAGCTTCAGTGAGGCGGATACCTGAGTGAACGGCATGGATTGTTTATTTAAAATAATCAAGCGCGACCCGAACCGAGACTTTGGTCCGGCCCCTCGGTGATAACCGAGCAGGCCAGGCCACCGGGAAATGTCCCGGTGCTCCCGATGGCCAGTCCGCCCCTCAACACAATGCTCTGGTTGAGTGCCTTCCATCAATCAGCCAATCGTGCGTTGTGTAGAATCTTACTTTGAAAAAACGCAATAGAGCGAGTCCGCAAAAAACGAACCGCAAAGTAGCGAGGGACAACTGTATAAGCTGTTCTACTAACTAATGGTTGGATAAACGAAAAAAAAAAAAAGACTGATAAAGTTCATGGTTGGAAATGTCCAAGTCAAAACTACTGGATTAAGATGAGGTCATTAACGCAGGAACTTAAAGGAAGAAGTTCAGGTCAGAAAAACATTTAATTAAACAGACGTCCAGGACTGATGGATAGCTACGGTAATAGAAATATTTAGTTAACACTTGATTCTCACATTTGCTCACAGTATGTTCTTTTTATTTAATTTTAGGGCTTGTAATAAAAGCTGGTTTTACATGAAATTCATGCAGAAATGTTGAGAAGATTATAAAGACTAGTGTTATTATTGCATTCTTTTGTCTTGATGTTTGTGTGCGTATCAGGACTGTGAGGTGCTCGAGACAGAAACGAAGCGTTTTGAAGACCTGGAGTTCCAGCAGCTGGAAAAGGAGAGCAGACAGGACGAGGAGAAGGAGACGCATACGCAGCAGCTTCTCCGGGACATCGCAGACTACCAGCGCAGCACCGTCACTCGCAAGGTAACACAAAAGCAGCACAAAATGACATGCTTATGTTTCATCTAAACATTAGTTACTTAAACAATGTCGTTTGTAAAATATTTGATCAATTAAGTTAAATCTTTCTAAAAATATGTGTTAGTTTATCTGATTTTGCAGCATCAACAGGAGAGTTATGCTCTAATTGGCTTTTATTTCTCCTTCAGGAGCGATTGTTGACGCTGAAGAAGCAGGCGGAGCAGATTACCCAGCAGGCCGAGCGAGAAAAGGAGACCTTCTTGAAGGAGAGGAGCAACCTGGATTCAATGCTGCAGAGAGTATGAAGATATTTGTGTTTGCATGCTCTGTGCGTGAACAAAAATAGGCGCAGTTTTGATTTTTAAAAAGTTTTCATTGCTGTTTTTTTTTTTTTCTGTCCGTCAGGAGAAGGAAAACCTCGCCTCACTGGAAAGAAAATACACTGACCTCACTGGCGGCCGCAGTTTCACTTTAAGGGAGGTAGGTTTGATTGACAGGTGGTCCATTTCTTCTCTTTGAGCGTCATTAAGACTCTAAAAGTGGGTGAAATCCTTGTGATTTAACCATTTGGATTCCCTTCTCTGCTTGTCAGGACTCAGCCTCTTTGGCTGATGCGTGTCAGTCGCTTCTTTGCTCTGTTTTTCTCAAGAACTCTGAGGTACTTCTGTCTTTTTGGACTCCTTTACATTATCCTCATAGTCCCGATACACTTTTGAGTTCTGTTTCTTGCCACCCTTTTTTGGTTTCTTGTTGTAATTACCTGTTATAATAACTTTAATGCATACTTATTTCATTAACTGTGAGCAAAACTTCTCATTATCAGTGTTGTTCCTTTAAAAATGTCCCTTGTGATGCGTGTTTTAACAGTGTTGTGCATACGTGACACGTTGCTGTTCGGCAGTATTCTAATAACTAATTTTCATATTTGACATCTTAATATGGCTGACTCACTTCATGCAACGCCTCTTTCTCTTTACCCTGTTTCTCCTCATGATCCCTTCCAGGGCTATGTCACAGTCAGTGAGATCAATGAGCTTTACTCACAGCTTGGGCAGCACCCTAAACCTGCCCCTGCCCCCTCTCTGGTCAAAGCCTCACCCGAGTCCGAGGTAACACTTTCCCCTGAAGACGACACCCCCAAATCTGCGGAGGACGAGGTGTGTGTAGCGGTGTGAAGGTTATTAATGTGTAATTTAGCAGGTGTGAGCAGATGATGGGTGAATTTTCCCTCAGCTTCTTCTGGATTGCTTCCTTCTTTTACCCTCTTTCTGTTTTCTTACAGCTTTTCTTTCTTTCTCTTAAAGCTCTTTCGTTCTTCGCCAGCCGACTGTCACTCCTCTTCCTCCTCCTCTTCTTCTTCCTCCCATCTAAGTTGTCTCCCCCTCCCTAAAACACCCTCTGTGCACTGGCCAGAGAACATGGTTTCCTATCGAGACCCTTCCCCCATCCCCGACTCCCCCCCACCTCCTCTTCCAGTCAAAAACCATCATCAGCGGCACAGGCAGGTAACGTGTTGGTCAGTAACTTTGGGTTTCTTTATAAAAAAAGACACTTTATATACGCATATAACTACAAAATGTTATTTAGATCAATATAGATTATTTACATGACTATTTACAATGCTCAATTTCAGTCATGGTTATGGCAAAGTTTAGTGGAATAAAGGATTTTCAGCATGTATATCTGCAAATGCATTTACTAACACTAGATGGCACTATAGTAAATCTAAATCTAAATATCACACACACTGAGGGTATACAGTAACCACTGAAATTTTATATTTTGTTTTTAGTAACCACTGAAATAGAAACACACTGGAATGGCCAACCCTGCTGCTGTCTAGGTGCTATGTAGCGTTCTTAATCACTGCCAGAATTGCAGCAGAACATAAATCTCCAAGTAAATCACCTAAACTCAGCCTAGGAGCCTAATGTTTAGCCATCAGTTATAGTGATAATTACAGTGACAAGTCAACCACCACGTTTTTTTCCTTAGGCAAATTTATATAATCCAGACACATGAGTAGATGTAAAACTTTCAGATTACTCATTGACAGCACTCTTAGTCCTTTGTGCACTGACAGGAAGGCACGCTCCTATAAAAATAAGAATACAGGGACTGAATCGTCCAAAACGGCTTAATTAGAATCAATGCAAATAAAATTTTCTCATTAAATTAGTTTTACAAACTAAACTGACTAAACTCGTATAATTACTGATGATAGACATTTGGCAGCTATGTTCATTCAACCTGTATTTATATAGGTTAATCCCATTGAGCCTCAGGGACTCATTTACAAGGGAGACCTGATTTTAACAAAGAGTGATGACAACAGTGGAACAACGAAGACTCAATAGACAGCCATGAAGTATGCATACAAATTGAGATTTTATTTATTTATTTAATATATATAATAATATCACCATAGAAATGTAAGGATGCATCAGGGATGCTCTGACCTACATTGCCTATGTAGATTGTAAAGAGGGTGGGTCCTAAGATTGAGCCTTGCGGTACACTATTGTTGACTGCTAAATAACTGGAGGAAGTACCATTATGTTGAATTATGTTGATTAAAAATGTATAATCAATAGTAACATATACAACCTAACAAGGAGGATCTATTTCTGAAAAAGAAACCCAATTTAACTTTCAGTTTCCTTACTAGGTTTTCCACGTGGAGCTTAGAGAGATGCAAATCGACCAAGATACTCAAAGTATTTGTAGGAATTGACAATCTCAATAGGGACACCATTCAAGGATTAAAATCAAAGGAAGAACTGCTGGGACTGACTTCCTGTTTGAAAAAAGCATCCCTTTGGTTTTGTCTGCGTTTAGGACAAGTTTGAGATGGAACAAATCTGACTGGCTGATGTCAAAAGTGGATTATACAAGCTGGAAAACCTTAACAACTGTTTTAGGTCGACATTAAACAACTGTGTCATCAGCATAGAAATGTAAGGATGCATCAGGGATGCTCTGACCTACATTACCTATGTAGATTGTAAAGAGTGTGGGTCCTAAGACTGAGCCTTGTGGTACACCATTGTTGACTGTTAAATAACCAGAGGAAGTACCATTGTACCAAGTACCATGTTGATTAAAAATGTATAATCAATAGTATCATATGGTCTTAAACCAGGGTTATTCAACTGGTGGCCCGCGGGCCATATCTGGCCTGCAAGTGACTTCAGTCCGGCCCACCAAAGACTTCATTTGGGTTCTGGGTTTGAGTTTTGTGTTCTGTTTATATAATTTGTGATTCAATGCAATAAGATAAACAAATTAAAAAGATAACAGACCATTGTAAAACTTGATTTATTTAAATAATGACTTTAATCGCTGGATGTCCAGCCCCTGAGCTGCTGGCTTTCAGAAACTGTGGCCCCCTGAGTAGTTTTGTTGAATAGCCCTGTCTTAAACATTAAACTTTAGTATAACAGTTTTTAAAAAGTCTATATTATGGGTACAATACAAGCATTAAACAATAGTGAAGTAGCATGTAGGCTAGACAAAAACTCAGTTATCTGTTTTTAAATAATGAAGTGTAGCTTGGTGGGAGGCTTATTACAGAATAGTTTTCCCCTCTGTTATCACAATATGTATGATATGTGTTCATTTATATAAATTTAGACTATTTCTATGTGTTTTTGGACTGATGACGCATCATTTGGCACTTACAGTACAATGTGTGGCTTCAACATGTAAATAATAGAGTAACGCACGTAGCACCTAGCAAGATGGTGGCCACAAAGCTTTCCTAACACTGCTGATAGCAGTTCCAGTGTATCTCTATCTTAGTGTGTATAATCTTTAACAAACTTTCATTATAATTTGCTTTAACTTAAAATGGAGAGTGATTAATAAATAACTATGCATCTTTTCCCCCCTTCTGTTTACTTAATTAGCATTTCCGTTTGCTGGAAGAGAGGAAGCGGTTTGAGAAAGACGATGGGTCACATGTGAGTGATACTTTACCCAGAAAGAGAGCCATTCCCGCCTTAAACACCCAGTTTACATGCTCGACACTTGGCCGCAACTTTCAAACCAAGGTAGCTGTACATGCACACAACTGAAGTACTTTGTTGTTCTGCTTAACATCTCAGTCCTGAGATTCAGATGCACTGTATTGTGAAATTAAAAATGTTTTTGGTTCTCCGTAGACCCATCAGCCTCTGGTCCAAAGTACAAGTTGTGGCAGCATTCTTCCAAGAATACTTTCTTTATCTAACAAGGACAGTGAACATCGGCGGCTGCAGAAAGGTAAATAAAGAAACCTGCTCATAAACCATAAAGAAAGTTCACCAAAACATGTTTTCACACAGACAGCAGCTCAGACTGTAATATTTTTCAAGAAAGCACTAAGTTTGATGGAAGTTGCTGCTTTAATCCCAATTAAGAGAATTCCTCTTGATTCCTTCTGCAATAAATTAAATATTCATTCATTTATTCATTCATTTAAAAGAAACAAAATAAAAACAAATTCATTAAAAAAGCATTGAATGAAAATATATAAATACCGTATTTTCCAGCCTATATGTCACAGTTTTATTGCTTAATTTGCATTTCCTGCGACTTATACACCGAAGCACCGTATTTATGGATTTTCTCCCATATTTATAAACCAATTTTTGACTGCGATATGACCGTTTTCATTCAGCTGACATTGAAAATATTGAACACTACCATTTTCAGCCGCTAGATGGCACTCGATTAGTATGGCATGCCGTTATATGTGTAAAAGTGGCTAATAATGACACCATCGGCTTTTGAAATGCAGCTGATTTGACCGTCAAAGTGCATTTATTAAGGAAAAGTTAGACTGAGACAAAACTTTACTATAATTTCAAGCAAACAAATAATTGTTTTTACGTGTTAATCTTGTTAAACTCTTATTAAAGTCCTCCCGTGCACGCTCCCGCGGCCGCCATTTGGCAGCCAATCGATTTTTGACACCACACCGGCCCAAATTTCTGGGTTAACAGCGGTGACGCGTAACAAACGCGACGCATCAGCGTTGATGCACAATAGATGCGACTTATAGGTCGAAGCGACATATTTATGTTTTTTCCACTTGATTAGACATTTTTGGACTGATGTGACTTAAACGGCGATGCAACATGTATGGCGAAAAATACGGTAAATATGAGAACGCGCGACTGAGAACAAAATTTGAACCTCTTTTAAAAAACAAAAAGTCATCTTGTTTTTTTTTTTTTTTTGTAATTTGCAAAACACAAACATCTGTGATTTAACTTCTGAAGACACTTCACATGAAGCGTTATTTATGGGTGTTCACGTGAAATAGTTTAGAGAAATTACAGTTACTCATTTGTTTATCTGTGGCTTAAGATAGTGGAGGAATGTGTTTAGCAGGGTTGCTCCTTGATTTGCTGGTTAGCTTGTGATTGAGCTTACAACCCTTTTTTTTTTTTTTTAAAGCTTTTAAATATGTTTAATGTGAATTTATTTAAAGAACTTGTCAGAAGTGTTTTTTTCCTCCACTTCAGCTTCAGTCAACCATTTTTTTTTTTTATAAATGGGAAACACAGTTGACTCGTTTTAAGGAATATTTTATTTTAAGTGACTGCATCTATATTTGTAATACCCACAAGGAGAACCCAAGTCTTTTATCTTACAGGAGTTTACTGTTGACCTTTAATAAAATATCTAAATTTGTAGTTATTGTGAGTCTTTTGCTTGAAGCAGTCACGTGTATCTGGTCCCCGAGTCCCTTTGGTCCTTTGATCTGGCTCATCTGATGGGTGGGCCTCCTCTATGGTTCTGATTGTATCAGGTTTTTTGTGTTCCTCTTCCTGTATTGAGGCTGAAAAAGACTCTTCAAAGTGTCTGTACAGTCATTTTGTCATCCTTCTCTCTGGAAATAATATATTTTCTCTCCAGACTTATTTGGACTGCTTCATCCTATTTTTAGGACGTGTGTTGTCCTTTTTAGGTGGGCGTTTTTGTTCCTGCTAAGTGGGATTACATGAATCGGTTGGTGTTTTATTTTATTTTTTAATTAAATTTTTTGTCTGGCACGTGTCACAGTGGCGGGGTATTGTGATCAAAATTTGAAGCCATCTGGGCAAAATGTCCTAGAAGGAGCGGCAGAGACAGGTACAGCACGTGGGTGCATGTAGGACGTGCAATGTTAGTACCGGTAGTTACTAACATGTTTGCTGTTATTGTGTTCAGGTCAGTCAGACTCCAGAGCAGCCTCCCAGACAAACGTCTACCTCGATGCCTTTAGGTACCGTGACAACCAGGCCTTTGACACGATGAGTGTGGACAGCAGCGACTCCGTTGAAACCAGCATCTCTGCTTGCTCACCTGACAATGTCTCCAGGTAAGCGTTCAGCTTTCCTACTTTACTCTGGAAAAGCCTACTTTTAATGTTTTCAGGATGAAAATTAAGAAAATGGGAGTATGAAAAACATTAGTTACTTTTCTAAAAAATAAAAAGCCGAAACAGCAAGGTGCTTTTTAGGTTTATTGAATGTAAAACATCATCATAAAGTGTTGAAAAGTTTTAAAGCAGCATTAATTTTGTCTTGTGTTGGTTTCAAAATCATGCTTTTTGGACGAAAAGTATAAAAAAAAATAGAGTGAAGACAAACTGCACAGGTCTACAGTCCAAGTTTGTCATCAGTATTTAAATGCAAATTATTTGCTTTATTTTGCGTTCAAGTTGCACTAACCCTAAAGCTCAAACTCTAAATCATAACCTTTTCACAGAACTGAACCTCTGAAGAACGCTTGAACTATGTACCGTAATTTCCAGACTGTAAGACGCTACTTTTTTCACAGGCTTTGAGCACTGCGGCTTATACAACACTGTGGCTAATTTATGGGATTTTTTTTTTTTGACAGGCTAACGAGCTTCATGCGTCCAAAACATTTAGCTTCGTCACACCCGGGCACTCGCATAGCTGCCAATACATGTCTCTCTTTGGGGGTGGGTCCTCGTGATTCAGTGAGATTACCCTGATGCATGCTCAATAATCCATAATCAGTGAGATTACCTGTATAAATAATGGTTAAAAAAAAAAAATCTGACCAATGAAATTACAGAATAAGTCACAGAGAACCAATGAAACAGGGAGGGGAGGAGAGAACTACTGGTAGACTACTGTATTTTAATTTTTTTAACCAGCCATGTTACAGGCACTGTTCAGAAAAAAAATAAAAATTACTGTACGTATTTGCATATGTTATTGGCACATATTTAATTAAAAGTTTTAAAACAATTATGTGTAAATATGTCATGTTACAACATGGACACTCGTGGTTTATAGACAAGCGCAGCCTATATATGTACAAAATTATTATTATTATTATTATTAATTTAGTGGGTGCGGCTTATATTCGGGTGCGCTCAGTAGTCTGGAAATTACAGTAATTAAGATCAGAAAGTCATTAAACAACTAGAAAATTGTTTTCTTTTTACAATTTTTTTTATTTTTCTTCAAATCTTTTGTGCACAGTTTGCTGTATGTACACAGAAAATGTTTTTACAGCTTGCGTGTCAAAAACAGCAGAAAACCAGTTAAAAACTGGTAAGTTTGAGTCAGAAATTTAAAAAAGGGTAGTGGTGTAGGAACAGTGTGCGCTGCTGGCGTGTTTTATTTTGCGTGCATTACCGCAAATGTTGATTGTTTGTCTTAAAGCTACCAGCTGAAGCATCAGCTCTTTCAGAACTTGAGTTAACAAACAATATGGAAGGGGCAGAAATGTAAAAAGAACTTTGGGTCTGGAGGCGTCTACAGAGAAAGAAGAACGTGGGCTAATGCAAAAAGCATGTGGAGCGGTTTCCCGCCTTTCATGTTTCTTCTTTGGAGCACAACATATGTGGAACTGACTGTTATACAAGTTGGGGTTGATTAGTGCTCCTGGGATCAGGTTACAGAAAGCGTGGAGGTGTGTAATGGTCAACCCCCTCAGGTTGTGAAGAACTGAACGGAGCAGCAGTCGTGTAGTGCACAGTGGAGGTGGTGAGGAGGAGGGGGGTTATTTGGACTAAAACCATGTGTGCGTGCGTCTCTTCCCCTCCTCGGCTTGTTTCTTTGAATGGTACGGGCTTTTTTTTTTTTTTTTCAGTAGAACATTGAAGTACTTGATCCTCAGTTGGGTTCCAGTTGGACTACATTAGACCTGCTCAGGTTGGACTGGAATGTGGACATGGATTTATGTCGGACAACAAAGTGGTTTTGTTACCGAAATGGGCTTTTGTTGGTGATGTGATGAATGAAGGTGCTCTCTGGACAATGAGTGCAGTTTCCTCTCATCGATTAAGGTAGGAGAGCAGAAATAAATGTTACTTAAAGGCTGGAGCTATCATTAACCCACTAAATACAAGGATCTATATATATTTTAATGCAAGTGCTTGATACTACAGTGAAATATGGTATGCATTATTTTTAATGTAGGTTGATTTTCCCGTTTGAATACTTTTGATCATCATTTACTGCACAAGTCTTAACAGTGGAATATTGAGCATTTCAGTGCACAAAAGGAAATTATTTGACTTAAACTGGAAATAAACCAGTTTAGAACAATTGCCAGAGAGCGGGAAACATATTTTCCCACATTTTTCCTTTCCTCCCATTCCTCTCGTTTCTGCTTTTAGTTTTCCCTCCTAGATTTGTGTACACTTCAGTCTAATGTGGACCATTCCTCCTAACGTTGTTATGACATCATCACACATCAACACGGGGTATCCATTTCCTTCTGGCTCCAGATAAGAACAATTTTTTTTTGTGTGCGCCAGAGGGAAAGAGAAAAATTAGAGCAAGTTATGTTTAGTGTGACAACCTCAATCACTCAGACACCTTCCTTTTGATGTGCTTCAGGAACATCTGCACAGTCTGTCTGAATACACTGACAAGGTACAAACCTAAAATTACTGTGACATCCTGGCCTCCTCTGCCAGGGGCTTCGAAACACACACAAGTGCACACATGCATAAACAGTGACTAATCGGGGATATCCTCTTTGTGTTGCATGTTTTGTTTGTCCAGATTTGTGTAGCTGTGGCTTTCAGATTGAATTACAGCTGTTGCTTGAACACTATTGGTTTCCTGTTTAAAAAAAAAAAAAAGCAGCTTTTCTGCACTGAATGGTATTTCTGCTAACTTTGTGCTGTTGAGTCATTTATACATCAAAAAGCTCATTAAGGGGATGGGTGTTGTGACTTTTGGTTTTTGTAACTTATAGTTTTCAAAACATGTAATTTTATTTAGAAATTCTTTCCTCATAAAATACATAGACATTTTTTTGTTCCTTCAGAAACATTTTAAAATATGCTTCAGCCTACTGGATCTGCCTTTTTCATCTTTTGGTACTTTTGGCTTTTAGCTACCATTCTTCTGCTTTCAGTTTTTAGCTACTGTTTTGCCGCTTTTTGCATTTAGCTAGCCTTTTGATTCTTTCAGGTTTTAGTTATTCTTTTACTACTTGTAGCTTGTGTCTCGCTACTTTTATCAGTTAGTTAGCCTGTTGATGCCTACATCAGCTATTCTGCTACTTTTAACTTTTAGCTAGTCCTTTGCTGCTTTTAATTAGCTTTTTTTTAATTAAAATTTTAGAGATTTTTTCTACTTTAATTAGATACACTTTTTATTTTTAATTAGCCTTTAACTAGTTTTCATTTTTGCCCAGAAATTTGCTTGTTTTTGATTTTAGCTAGTGTTCAGCTTCTTGTAGCTTTTAGCTAGTGTTCAGCTTCTTGTAGCTTTTAGCTCGTGTTCAGCTTCTTTTAGCTTTTAGCTAGTGTTCTGCTTCTTGTAGCTTTTAGCTAGTGTTCTGCTTCATGTAGCTTTTAGCTAGCGTTCTGCTGCATATGACTTTGAGCTAGTGTTCTTCATGTAGCTTTTAGCTAGTGTTCTGCTTCATGTAGCTTTTAG